ATACTCTCTCGTCTTCCCTCGCCTAAAGAGGCCACGCAGCTTCTCAAGCAAGTGATCAGTGCACGCGTTGTAACGCATAAGGAGTTTTTTGATGGGCTTGTGAGTGCTCGGGAGAAGCTGGAAATAAAGAGCTCAATTGTGTTGGATTTGCTCGTAAGGGCGTATTGTGAATTGAAGAAAGGCGAGGAGGCGTTAAAGTGTTTTTATTTATTGAAACAGAAGGGAATTTTGCCCAAGATTGAAACTTGTAATGATTTATTGAGTCTTTTTAATAAATTGAATAGGACCCATTTGGCCTGGATTGTGTATGCTGAAATGTTTAGGATGAAGATTAGTTCGACTGTATGCACGTTTAATATAATGATCAATGTTCTATGTAAAGAAGGCAAGTTGAAGAAGGCAAAGGAGTTCATTGAAAACATGCAGTGTTTAGGGGTTAAGCCAAATTTAATATCGTATAATACTGTGATTCATGGTTATTGTTCGAAGGGAGATTTTGAAGGAGCAAATAAGTTTTTTGAGACGATGATAGTAAAAGGAATTGAACCTGATTCGTACACGTTTAATTCTCTAATCAGCGGGATGGTGAAGGAGGGGAGGGAAAAGGAGGTGTCTTCGTTGTTAGAGAAAATGAAGTCGTTCGGGTTGATCCCCACAGCTGTGACTTACAATACTCTGATAGATTCATGCTGCAATAAAGGGGACTTAGAAAAGGCATTCTTTTATAGGGATGAGATGGTTAAGATTGGGGTTGTGCCGAGTGTTACTACCTATAACTTGTTGATCCATGCATTGTTTCTTGATGGCAGAATGGCGGAAACTGATGATTTGGTGAAAGAGATGGCAGAGAAGAGAGTACTCCATGATGTTATTACGTATAACATATTGATCAATGGCTATTGCAGGGCGGGGAATGCAAAGAAGGCATTTAAGTTTTATGATGAAATGTTGAGTAGGGGTCTTCGACCAACGATTGTCACTTATACATCACTTATCAAAGTCTTGGGCAAAAGAAATCGGATGAAAGAAGCAGATGATTTGGTTGTTGAAATATTACGGAAAGGGATATTCCCAGATCTAATTATGTTCAATGCATTGATTGATGGCCATTGTGCCAATGGTAACATTGTGCGTGCTTTTGATATACTGAAAGAGATGAATAAAATGAACGTTCAGCCTGATGAAGTTACCTACAATTGTCTAATGCAAGGGTATTGTAGGGAGAGTAAAGTTGAAGAAGCTTGTGCGCTTCTCGAGGAGATGAAGGGAAGAGGAATTAAACCTGATCATATCAGCTATAACACTCTAATCAGTGGGTATAGTAAGAGAGGTGACATGGATAATGCATTCAAAGTTCGTGATGACATGTTAAGTGCAGGTTTTAACCCTACTCTTCTCACTTACAATGCTCTCATACAAGGTTTATGCAAAAAACAGGAAGGTGTACTTGCTGAGGAACTTCTCAAAGAAATGGTTAGTAAAGGCATTACTCCCGATGACAGCACTTATCTTGCTTTGATTGAAGGGATTGGTGATGTTGATGGTTTCTTGGGGAGAAACGATCCATCATAAGGTAACTTGTCAGGTTCCTGTTTGCCGCTGGCAACTCCTTGGTGATTGTTTGGATATAACCGACTCGATTGATTTGGAGTACTTGGTGGAACTGAAACATCCACAAAGCTCATCCTTCCCAAGTCGCTTGCATTTTCACATTTTTCTCATCAGATTGACATGACAGTCCAACTACATAGCCAGACATGCTCTGCGTCATCGCCCCTTAGGGTTTGGCCAGAAAGGGTCCATCTCGGTGTACCCATGTGTATTTTGCAAACATGTTACTCTTGGATATAGCCCACTAGCCAAAGCTACTTCTCTGTACTGACGATGGAACGCCATTTCATCCTCCTCCTGAAGAAAAACTGAGTATTGGGGGAAAACCATGCCAAGAAGCTTCCCTTATTAGAGAAAAGAGAAAAGCTTCCAGAATAAATGGTCCAGACCTGTCAAATGAAGAGGACAGGAAATGTGATAATTATTTTGTTTAAGACCAGTAGCTGTGAAAATATTTATATCAGGATTTCTTGAAGCAATAATATTTATCTCAAATTTGTTTGCCAAGGAGTTAAATGTACTTGAATGGACTCTAGACTAGGTTTTCACTCTGTGGAGAGCTGTAAAAGCAGTGGAGGTATGCGTAGTAAACGAGGTTAGAGAATGGGCTCTGCTAGTTGCATGCACTGTAAGTTTCAAGCTGATATTGGCTTGTAAAGTATTGTACATCCATAGCAACCTTACATTGGCCAATGATTCACAACTAGCTGATATTACTTGATGAGCCCCAATCATTGTTTTGCTTTTGCAGTCTCCAATCTTCAACATATTTGTTTATATTATACTCATGGATTGGTTGAAGTTCTTTTTCTTTCTCTCATTATCGGGGTAAGTAGAGCTGCTTAATTGGGCTTAATTTCTGAAAATACATCATATTTCTAGCCTGCAGTTTGTATAAGCTGAGTCACTTGATTACACCTCAACTGTTTACTCTGTTTATGTTTCTCCGATATATGTGCTAGATGCTGTGAATTGTAAGCTCTTCTCATTTAAGTGTTTTAAATGCAAGAGGCTATGACCTACTTGGCAGGATTAGCTGGTTTTAAGAATATCACAGAATCGGGGTTATAGCCTGGTTATATGTAATGTCGGTAAGTTAAATATGTAATCTATAGGTTTACCACATATTCACCTGTTACATGCTTTGTAAAATCTACCCTTTTTTCTTTGTCTTCTCTGTCACTGATAAAGAATTTCGTAGATTTTGAACATTGCAGTCTGCCAGTCTGGAAACAATTTTCCACATCTTCAGGAAAGAAAAGTTGGAAGCTCTTTAACCTTACTCTCCAATTTCATGTTTAATAAATGGTAAGTATCGCAAGAAATTTGTGTCTGGAACAAGGGGGATTGCTAGTTTGTCAAATTTAGTAGTACAAGATATTGGGATAGTATCCTTTCTATGTTTAATCTCATAGAAGCACTCCTTTTTTCCTTCAGGTTACTGAGGATTTATTTTCATGCAAAAGAAACTGACCATCTGTATAAACTTATTGTCTTTCAATGAGATTAATATTCATCAAATGCCATTTCTTATGTCACCTTGTCACCTTTATCTTTTGTCTTTTACTCTTAATGATCCTGTAAGGCTGCGCATTGATGGATTGACACTTTATGTCCATGTTGCTTGTGGAAATACATGTTAACTGTTTCAGTGCTAGTCCGGGGTAGCACTGAGCACCAGTCCTTGCTTCTGAGCCATTAGCAACTTGCTAATGGTTGCTGCAACCCTGCGACCAAAGGTTGAAGCCATCAAATTGTTTAAGGGTGCAATTCTTATAAGCACGTTAGTTAAATCAGTTGGTCTTGCGTATTTTAATTGTTGGAAGCATCATACATTACTGATTATTACTCTCAATTACTATCTCACTATCGGTTCCCTTTAACACCTGAGTTGTTTGACCAGTAAAAAGTAACTTCATAATTCATCAGATTACAGACAAATACAAAGCTAAGCTGTTTGAGTCTAGAACGCCAAGGTGGTATTTAAGCTAAACCAATTATAAAAGATCTACACGTTGCAGGAGCACCATTCTTGTAAACTGTTTTGTATAATTAACATTCGACGACCTGGGATTCCAGATGCAAAGGGTTATGTGTATCTTACTGGTATGCAGTTTGTTTGTGCCAGGTGTGGTGCTGGTTGGTGAATATAGTATAAAATTAAAGCGCTCTACCTACGGTCGCATTACTACTTACTAGCGTTCCATATTATTATTTTTCGACAACACGTGTAGTATTTTTTTATTGGGCGTACAGTCAAATCTCTCTATAACAATTTTTTTTTCCTCAGAACTGATTTTTTAAGTTATATTTTACCTCTCTATAACAACTTTTTACCTATAACAGCAACAACCATGTTTATAGCAGAACACTCTTTGTAAAATTACCTCTCTATAATAGCCATATTATTAAGATTAACAAAGTTTCTATAGATATAAAATTTGAAGATTTGCACATGATATCTTTTCCATTTGATAAATTCCAAAATATGTATGTATAGAAAATTTAACTGTTAAGCTCTTAGATTATTTTCAAAGGAAAGCTATTGGATACCTTTTTACTGAAAATTTGGACATGTGCCAATTCAAGCGTTATGTTGCTAGTAATAGAATAAAATCTACTAAAAAGCTACAAATACAAAGTTCTTCTATCAATCTTGAAAGAATTTATTTTTCTAGGTATCTTTAAAATGTCTGCCTTAGAGTTTAAATCTTTATACATTTAGCTATGAATTTTATTAATAATATATTAGCTTTCTTCGATATTTAACTAGTGAAATATGCATAATTTTTGAGATTTTAAATTTGAATTTTTTTCTTATCTTTTATATGTAACATAAAAAATTTAAAATAAGTAGTTTTTGGATAATTTTTATTTATAACAGCCAAAAAATATTTAAACGTCAAATGTTATTATAAATGTATAATAGTCATTCACTATAAAAGTCAGAAAACCAAAAAATATCGGAATAAACGAGACTTGTTATTGAGAGGAATAGTGCATTACAATTTACAACCCACTGATAAAATAAATAAGTATAATACTCTATTTAGCAAGTTGTCTTTGTTGGCCGGCGGTCGACGTTACTGAAGAAAGTCAGAGTTGCTTCCCGGCCAAACTTTATCTTAAGAAAAAGGCAGGGAAACCCAAAAAAAAGGTAATAAAGGCATCCAAAGGAGGCAATTACGTAGTTTGGAAGCCCCCTTCTTTTGACCAAATAGTCTAACTCTAGTTCTATAGAGTAAAAGCTGCATACATGGCGCAAAGATAGCAGAATCAAAAGAATCTTATGTTTCAAAGTTGTTTTTGTCTCGAGATCCAGGAAATACTATAAACAAGTTCACTTCTTTTAACCTCATCTTTACTCCACTGGGTCTCCTTTTTTTTTTANGGATGGCCAGATCCGAGAAGGGGTGAATGCAAATCTTCAGTCCTTTATTCATGAATATGAAGAGTTGGAGGACATCAAAATTCCTCAGCAAAGAGGAAGCCAATCTTCAGAAGCCAATGTCCTAATTGATGAATTCCTTGACAAGTCTTCTAAACTCAGGCACAATTTCTTTCCTGACCGGAGAACTAGCATAGACCCTCGAAAGAATACTAAAGATGACAGCTTTTACTATTACCCCGGGAGAATTTGGTTAGATACTGATGGACATCCAATTCAAGCTCATGGTGGTGGAATTCTTTATGATAAAAGATCAAGAATGTATTATTGGTATGGCGAGTACAAGAATGGTCCTACTTATCGAGCCCCTGGGAAGAACATAGCTCGAGTAGACATAATTGGTGTTGGCTGCTACTCTTCTAAAGATTTATGGACTTGGAAGAATGAGGGTATTGTATTAGCCGCGGAGGAAATGGATGAGGCTCATGACCTTCACAAGTCTAAAGTGTTAGAGAGGCCTAAAGTGATCTACAATGAGAAGACAGGTAAATATGTAATGTGGATGCATATCGATGATGCTAATTATACTAAAGCCTCTGTTGGAATTGCCATAAGCAATTCCCCTACTGGTCCTTTTCGATATCTATATAGTAAAAGGCCTCATGATTTTGAAAGCAGGGACATGACTTTGTTCAAAGATGATGATGGAAAGGCATATGTCATTTACTCCTCTGTTCACAACAGGGAGCTTCATATTGGTCTTCTTGATCAAGATTATGTCGATGTTGCAAATGTTATGTCAAGGGTTCTTGTAGGTCAGTATAGGGAGGCACCGGCCTTGTTCAAGCACAAAGGAACTTACTACATGATCACATCAGGGTGCAGTGGTTGGGCACCAAATGAGGTGCTGGCTCATATGGCTGAATCAATTATGGGACCATGGGTAAGTATAGGCAACCCATGTATAGGTGCAAACAAAGTTTTTCAAGTCACTACATTCTTTGCTCAGAGCACATATGTGCTCCCTATTTCTCCTGGTTCGTTTATTTTCATGGCTGATCGATGGAATTCAGATGATTTGGGTGAGTCTAGGTATGTATGGCTTCCTTTAACTGTGGAGGAAGAAGCTAGCAGTCGGCGACAAAGAGTATCTATCTTTTGGCATAAAAGATGGAAGCTTCTTAAAAGTCTTGTTTAGAAGTAAGCTTATAATTTTCTTCTGAAACAGTGGTTATTCTCATCATAGAGTAGTTTACTAGCCTTTTATGAAGTATGTACAATGTGAAGTGATACAAGCTGTTTATCAAAATAACTTGTTACCTTGTTGGAACTAGAATTACACACAGCTTTAATCCATATATATCAAGATGTATGATTGCAGCTTCTCATGCCTTGTTAATAGAGGCAGATCGAGGATTTCAAAAGGATGGGTGCACTATTGTGAAGAGGCGAATCTGGAATTTATATTTGATTGGTTTAATTTTAATCTCTTACCTTGGCCCACTACACTTTTAAAATTATAGATTCAAAATTATATTCTTTTTGAAATTTTAGTCATTTTCACATATATATATCTATACTGCGTGCCGAAAACAAGACCATTGGGATTGAAACCGCCAATTTCACTTGTAGAGGTGTACCCAATAATAAATTGCACCATAATAGTCTTTGCACATGGGTTCACGCACACATATTTAAGTAATTTTGAAGCAATATAATATTGTTATACATGGTTTAGGGAGACAAGTATGGGTCCACGTGAACCCATATCCCTCGACTAAGATATCCTATTGTGATTCTTAAGGTTAGTTATTTAGTACTTTCCACATTCAAAACACAGCTAGAATTACCACTGCTATAGCTTCAACTTACAGCATCAGGTAACAAAATAATACAGTATAAGTTCAAGCTTCGATCCTACAAGTTACACCAATTTACAGCACCTCAAGAGAGCAGCATCACAATAATAAGTCTTAACATAATTATTAACTCTGCACAAGCAATCAAATAGTACGTATAATTATTGCAATCCCAATAAAATTCATAATCCAAAGAGTGGGCAAACGTCAAACAAAACCACCAACTTTTCTTTCTCAATACATCAAAATTTCAGGCAGTTAATGCCAATTCGAACTACTATGTATTACAATATGATTACCAAAATCTTCAATTGGACCCAAAAAAATAAAATAAATCGAAACTCCGAGGTTCTCAAGCGACAGCAATAGGCTATTGTTTCGAAGGCTCAACGTGTTTCTTGGAATCTCCGATGAAATCTTCCATATTATAGATAACGGTGATATAAAGGGAACAACTAGGGCATCGGGCGATCTCTTCACCTAGCTTCAGATCTTCCTTTGTGATTTGGAACAGGTCACCGCACGGACAAGGATATGTGAAAGCTTGGAGCTCGTTGTTCCACTCCATGTCCTCAATCTCCACGTCATCGTACGACATCCCTCGCTGCTTTTGTTCTTCGTTTTTCACAGAGATTAGGGTTTTCCTGTTCGGAATTTGATAAAGGTTATAAGGTCCGTCGAAGTTGATTGGGTTTTTAAAGATCGGGAAAATTGCATCTGACGTCCTTTTAGGACTCGTTTGTTGTTTTTAAGTAACGTGAATATTAAGATGTGGTATGCAGATCTGAACACTGAATGATTATAAATTTGAATATATATATATATAAATAAAGTGATTAAATATTATATCAATTAGTGAAAATATTAACTTGAACAAAAAAAGTTATTATTTGAGATAAATTGAAATATTATAAGATATAATTTAATATTTATGTAAGATCCCATTGTTAAACTATCTGAACTATAAATAAAAATTATATATAATAACAACAATTGTAGTAACGAAATGTAACCAAAAAAAATATTTTGAACGTAAAGTATTCATACAAGATATATAACTTTTAGCTTCATTTAGTAATATTATTATTTATATTATCAAGTGTTAATTCAAATTAGTAAGATGTTAGCCATATGTTTGCAATGCATTACCTTAGATCTTGATGTAAAAACTTTATTTGCTAATACAAAGATTTGAGTAGTTTAATTCAAAGTTCTAGAATATTTCTTATGTTAAAAAGTAAATATTCTTTGTTTTTTCAAAATCTTTTTTACATGGACTTGTAACGTATGACGAATAATTCAAGAGCAATAGCACATAAATATTCAGAAAGCACTGAAATATAAATCTTACTTATGTATACATTATCCGAATTCTAGCCAAATATGAAACTATAGCGGCTCTAATTTCAACAACACAGAACTTCATTATCCGAATTCTAGCCATAGCAAAGTTTCTTAATTTTGGACGAGCTTCATAAACNAATATGAAACTATAGCGGCTCTAATTTCAACAACACAGAACTTCATTATCCGAATTCTAGCCATAGCAAAGTTTCTTAATTTTGGACGAGCTTCACGGTTTATATTTCAACTAGAGAAATTGAATTTCAGTCACTAATATGCAATTCTTGAAGAAAACAAAAGAACGTTCAAAAGGGACTATGTGAATCTGCAAAAGAGAAAAAAACATTGCTAACAATTTAGAACACGTCCCAGTTAAGATTTACGATTTAGAGAATCAGGATGTCAACAAAATCAAGAAAAATTACAGAAAATTCAGAGATTCAATCAAAATATAATATCCAAAAGTGAGAACAAGACACAAATAAGAGGCAAGCAAAACCTTCTAGTTTAGCCCCTTCTCAGTCGTATTTTAAAAGGGGTTTTTTAAACCCTAAACTCGAAACTGAAATTTACCATTAGAAAAGAAACAAGATGGAGAATTCCAAGTATAATTTTCAAAATCTTACCCAGAAAAAGATTCGGCGGCGCGGCTGCTTGATCCTTGAATGAAGAGAGAGATGTGTGAAGGATTGAAATTTGTTTTGGGCTTAGAAGAAATAGCCTGATGTCAAGAGAGAGCAAAGGAGCACCGAAAAAAGAGGCGTGTATTTTCGGGATTTTTAACCTCTGGACGGAATTAAGACTCAATTAAAGGTCTGACCGAATCAGACCTATCCAGACTTTTTAAAAATAAAAAACAAATATATACTTAATGGACTATGATTCATTCAGATTCAAACCCTGCAACTAACACAAAAACAGCAACAAATTATAATCCCATTTAGTACAAGGTATAATTTCACTTAGTTGGGTATGGGAGATATAATCCCATTTAGTGAAGTCTGGAAAGGATAGTATATACGCAGATCTTATCCCTATCATAGGATAAAGAGGCTATTTTCAAATAAAACCCCAACATCCTTCTCTCCAAAAACTTCTCACCTTGCTCTTGGGGAGACTCGAACTCACAAACTCTTGGTTGGAAGTGGAGGTTGCTTACCATCACACCCTGCAAACAAATGAGGCCTTAATAACTTAGAGAAATGTAATATGACCCTGAGCTTTAGTAAATTACAACTTCAATACAGCATGTTCGGGGACTTAAGGCGGCGGGGATTAACAAACTATCATACCACAGGTGAAAACAAAAATTTATTTCTATCTACTCCTTCATTTGGCTAAAATTACTTTTACAAGTATAATTTTTAAATCAATAAATGTTTAGCCCCAAAATATAGTATTATGTTCTTTTCTAAATGGAGTCTTTTGAAATTCCTTAAGTGCCCTAGTAAAATATGTTAAACCTTTATTTGTAAGCATGCTCTAATATTTATTTATTTTAGATTAATGTTTTAATGCATAAAAATCCAATGAATTCTTGTGTAGCAGAGCAGCATGTAACATTTATCAAACGACATTAATTGGGAGGATAGTGTTACTTTAAAGTGTAAACTAGGGTATATTGTTTCTATTTTTTGGTAATTCTTTTCCAACAAACAATAGTAACTAAGCTTCAATTTCAAATATCGTTAAAATACATGCCTAGTTGAGCACATCACAGTGAAATTTATATTATCATGAAATGACAAATTTTATGTTTATTGTAACTTACTAAATCGTTCTTATTTATTTGGACTTGAGTCCGGCAACATGAACACCCTAAAAAAACAAAGGGAGTTATATAAATCAATAATTTTTATTATGATTTATAATAAATTGAATAAGGTAAAAAAATTACATTATTTAAAGAATATAAAAGAATGAAGTACAAATTAAAATTGATGCAATAGGACTGCAAATTGCCCAAAAACTCTTCTAGGCCTTATTTGGCTAAAGAGCAAAGCTTCTCTGTCCTACAGAGTACAGACTGCAGCAGCGAGATGAGAGGTGTCAAAGCTCTCAGAAGCTCCAAGCTTTCTTCACTCCCACTCCGCCATTTCTCTACACTTACACTCTCCAAATCCAAAAAATCTGCCCCTTCTCCTCCTCCCCCACTTCCCATCACTGCGAATGCCCTACGAGATTCAGTCACTTCTTCTCAGTGGCAATTCATCAAACACATTTCAGGCGAACTAAACCCCACCTTAATTTCCAACGCCCTCCCAAACCTTCGTTCATCTCCGGACCGTGTACTCACTTTCATCGAAAATATCAGCCCTAATTGCTTAGACATTACCTGTTATAGCCTCGTTATTTGCATACTCTCTCGTCTTCCCTCGCCTAAAGAGGCCACGCAGCTTCTCAAGCAAGTGATCAGTGCACGCGTTGTAACGCATAAGGAGTTTTTTGATGGGCTTGTGAGTGCTCGGGAGAAGCTGGAAATAAAGAGCTCAATTGTGTTGGATTTGCTCGTAAGGGCGTATTGTGAATTGAAGAAAGGCGAGGAGGCGTTAAAGTGTTTTTATTTATTGAAACAGAAGGGAATTTTGCCCAAGATTGAAACTTGTAATGATTTATTGAGTCTTTTTAATAAATTGAATAGGACCCATTTGGCCTGGATTGTGTATGCTGAAATGTTTAGGATGAAGATTAGTTCGACTGTATGCACGTTTAATATAATGATCAATGTTCTATGTAAAGAAGGCAAGTTGAAGAAGGCAAAGGAGTTCATTGAAAACATGCAGTGTTTAGGGGTTAAGCCAAATTTAATATCGTATAATACTGTGATTCATGGTTATTGTTCGAAGGGGGATGTTGAAGGAGCAAATAAGTTTTTCGAGACGATGACAGTAAAAGGAATTGCGCCTGATTTGTATACGTTTAATTCTCTAATCAGCGGGATGGTGAAGGAGGGGAGGGAAAAGGAGGTGTCTTCATTGTCAGAGAAAATGAAGTCGTTCGGGTTGATCCCTACAGCTGTGACTTACAATACTCTGATAGATTCATGCTGCAATAAAGGGGACTTAGAAAAGGCATTCTTTTATAGGGATGAGATGGTTAAGATTGGGGTTGCGCCGAGCGTTACTACCTATAACTTGTTGATCCATGCATTGTTTCTTGATGGCAGAATGGCGGAAACTGATGATCTGGTGAAAGAGATGGCAGTGAAGAGAGTACTTCCTGATAGTATTACATATAACATATTGATCAATGGCTATTGCAGGGCGGGAAATCCAAAGAAGGCATTTAAGTTCTATGATGAAATGTTGAGTAAGGGTCTCCAACCAACGATTGTCACTTATACATCACTTATCAAAGTCTTGGGCAAACGGAATCGGATGAAAGAAGCAGATGATTTGGTTGTTGAAATATTGCGGAAAGGGCTATTCCCAGATCTAATTATGTTCAATGCATTGATTGATGGCCATTGTGCCAATGGTAACGTTGTGCGTGCTTTTGATATACTGAAGGAATGAATAAAATGAACGTTCAGCCTGATGAAGTTACCTACAACTGTCTGATGCAAGGGTATTGTTGGGAGAGTAAAGTTGAAGAAGCTTGTGCCCTTCTCAAGGAGATGAAGGGAAGAGGAATTAAACCTGATCATATCAGCTATAACACACTAATCAGTGGGTACAGTAAGAGAGGTGACATGGATGATGCATTCAAAGTTCGTGATGACATGTTAAGTGCAGGTTTTAACCCTACTCTTCTCACTTACAATGCTCTCATACAAGGTTTATGCAAAAAACAGGAAGGTGTACTTGCCGAGGAACTTCTCAAAGAAATGGTTAGTAAAGGCATTACTCCTGATGATAGCACTTATCTTGCTTTGATTGAAGGGATTGGTGATGTTGATAGTTTCTTGGAGAGAAAAGATCCATCATAAGGTAACTTGTCAGGTTCCTGTTTGCAGCTTACAACTCCTTGGTGATTCGTTGGATAGAACTGACTCGATTGAGTTGAAATACTTGCTGGAACTGAAACGTCCACACAGTTCATCCTTCCCTAGTCGCTTGCATTTTCACATTTTTCTAATCAGATTGACATAACAGTCCAACTACATAGCCAGATATGCTCTGCTTCATTTCCCCTTAGTGTTTGGCCAGAAAGGGACCATCTCTGTATATTCCATGTGTATGTTGCAAATATTTTACTCGTGCATACAGCCACAGGCCAGAGCTACTTCTCTGTATTGAAGATGGAACGCTATTTCATCGTCCTCCTGAAGAAAAGATTAGTGTTGGGGGAAAACCATGCCAAGAAGCTTCCTTATTACAGAAAAAGGGAAAAAGTGTCCAGAATATATGGTCCAGACCTGTCAAATGAAGGGACAGGAAATGTGATATTTAAGACCAGTAACTGAGTTTCTGGAGTGGCGAACATATTCATATCAGGAATTCTTGAAGCAATAATTTTTATCTCAAATTTGTTTCCCGAGGAGTTAAATGTACTTGAATGGACTTTGGACTAGGTTTTCACTCTGTGAGATGCTTCTATAGCACATTCATAGATGTTGAAGAGTATTGGAGGTATGTGTAGTAAACGAGATTAGAAAATCGGCTCTGCTAGTTGCATGCACTGTAAGTTTCACGCTGATATTGGCTTGTAAAATATAGTACATCCAAAAGCAATCTTATATTGGCCAACTAATTCACAATTCTGAGAGCTAGCTGATATTACTTGATGAGCCCCAATCATAATTTCGCTTTTGCAGTCTCCAATTTTCAACATTTTTGTCTATATTATACTCATAACTATGGTTGAAGTTCTTTTCTCTCTCTCTCTCTATCAGGATAAGTAGGCTGCTTAATTGGGCTTAAATTCTGAAAATACGTCATATTTCTACCTGCAGTTTGTACAAGGCTACAAGCTGAGGCGCTGGTTACACCTCAACTGTTTACTCTTATGTTTCTCAGAAACATATATGCAAGATGCTGTGAATGATAAGCTCTTTTCCTTTAAATTTTTTAAATGCAATAGGTTATGACCTACTTCACAGGATTAGCTGGTTTTACAAGGATACCATAGAATCGGGATGTTGCTTAAGTCTGGTTATATGTAATATCGGTAAGTTAAGTATGTAGCCTATAGGTTTACCACATCTTCACCTTTTACATCCTTTGTAAAATCTACCCTTTTTTTGTCTTCTCTGTCACTGATAAAGACTTCCGTAGATTTTGAACATTGCAGTCTGGGAAACAATTTTTCCACATCTTCAGGAAAGAAGACTTGGAAGCTCTTTAAGCTTACTCTCCAATTTCATGTTTAATGAATGGTAAATATCCCAAGAATTTTGTGTCTCTGGAACAAGGGGGACTGCTAGTTTGTCACAACTAATAGTACAGTATGTAGTGGGATAATATCCTTTCTATGTTTAGTCTCATAGAAACACTCCTTTTTTTGCTTCAGGTTACTGAGGCTTTATTTCATGCAAAAGAAACTGACCATCTGTATAAACTTATTGTCTTTCAATGAGATTAATATTCATCAAATGCCATTTCTTATGTCGCCTTGCCACCTTTATCTTTTGTCTTTTACTCTTAATTCCTGAAGGGCTGTGCTTCCTTGGATTGACACTTTATGTTCATATTGCTTGTGGAAATACATGTTAGCTATATATTTCAGTACTAGTCCAGGGTAGCACTTATCACCAGTCCTTGCTTCTGAGCCATTACCAACTTGCTAATGGTTGCTGGCCCGAAGGTTGAAGTCATCGAACTGTTTGAGTGTGCAATTCTTATAAGCACGTTAGTTAAATCAGTTGGTCTTGCGTGCTTTAATTCTTGGAAGCATCATATTCCACTGATTGTTACTCTCATTTACTATCTCACTATCGGTTCCCTTTGACACCTGAGTTGTTTGACCAGTAAAAAGTAACTTCATAATTCATCAGATTACAGACAAATACAAAGCTGTTTGAGTCTTGAACGCCAAGGTGGTATTTAAGCTATACCAATTATAAAAGATCTACACGTTGCAGGAGCACCATTCTTGTAAACTGTTTTGTATAATTAACATTCGAAGACCTGGGATTCCAGATGCAGAAGGTTGTTTGTATCTTACTGGTATGCAGTTTGCTTTGTGCCAGGGGTGGTAGTGGTTGGTGAATATGATATAAAATCAAAGCGCTCTACCTAAGGTCGGATTACTACTTACTAGTACTCCGTATTATTTTTTTCGACAACGCACGTGCAGTACTCTTATATTGAGCGTGTTACAATTTACAACCCACTGATAAAATAAGTAATATATGGCAAGTTGGCTTTGTTGGCTGGCTATCGACGTTACTCAAGAAAGTCAGAGTTGCTTCCCAGCCAAACTTTATCTTAAGAAAAAGGCAAATGAAACCCAAAAAAAGGTCATAAAGGCATCGAAAGGGGGCAATTATGTAGTTTGGAAGCCTCCTTTTGACCAAATAGTCTTACTCTAGCTCTGCAGAGGAAAAGCTGTATACATGGCTCAAAGGTAGCAGAATCAATAGATTCTTAGTTTTCAAAGTTGTTTTTGTCTCGAGATCCAGGAAATACTATAAACAAGTTACACTTCTTTTAACCTCATCTTTACTCCAATGGGTCTCCTTTTCTCTTTTTGGGGCCTGAAAGGAGCTATATGTTAAGACTAATCTGATAGAACAACTTCTGACCACCAACTGCAGTCCCTTTAGCAAAGCTTTGCTTAACCCATGACTCGATTCTCGTCAAGAAGCAGATGCTCATACCCTTTACTGGTTTGTAGCTTGGTGGGTTTCTTAATTCTGCTTCATTTCTCATCCTTGGGTAGTTACAGAGGTTCTCAAGATGGCCAGATTCGAGAAGATTCATGAATATGAAGAGTTGGAGGAGATCAAAATTCCTCAGCAAAGAGGAAGCCAATCTTCAGAAGCCAATGCCCTAATTGATGAATTCCTTGATAAGTCTTCTAAACTCAGGCACAATTTCTTTCCTGACAAGAGAACTAGCATAGACCCTCGAAAGAATACCAAAGATGACAGCTTTTACTATTATCCCAGGAGAATTTGGCTAGATACTGATGGACATCCTATTCAAGCTCATGGTGGTGGAATTCTTTATGACGAAAGATCAAGAATGTACTATTGGTATGGTGAGTATAAAGATGGTCCCACTTATCGAGCTCCCCAGAAGAATGTAGCTCGAGTAGACATAATTGGTGTTGGCTGCTACTCTTCTAAAGATTTATGGACTTGGAAGAATGAGGGTATTGTATTAGCCGCGGAGGAAAAGGATGAGACTCATGACCTTCACAAGTCTAAGGTATTAGAGAGGCCTAAAGTGATATACAATGAGAAGACAGGTAAATATGTAATGTGGATGCATATTGATGATGCTAGCTATACCAAAGCCTCTGTTGGCATTGCTATAAACAATTCCCCTACTGGTCCTTTTCGATATCTATATAGTAAAAGGCCTCATGGTTTTGAAAGCAGGGATATGACTTTGTTCAAAGATGATGATGGAAAGGCATATGTTATCTACTCCTCTGCGCATAACAGGGAGCTTCATATTGGTCTTCTTGATCAAGATTGCGTTGATGTTACTAATGTTATGTCAAGGGTTCTTGTGGGACAGTATAGGGAGTCTCCGGCTTTGTTCAAGCACAAAGGAACTTACTACATGATCACATCAGGGTGCAGTGGCTGGGCACCAAATGAGGCACTGGCTCACGTGGCTGAATCAATTATGGGACCATGGGTGACTATAGGCAACCCTTGTATTGGTGCAAACAAAGTTTTTCAAGTCACTACATTCTTTGCTCAGAGCACATATGTACTCCCCCATTTCTCCTGGTTCGTTTATTTTCATGGCTGATCGATGGAATCCAGACGACTTGAGTGAGTCTAGGTATGTATGGCTTCCTTTAACTGTGGAAGAAGAAGCTAGCAGTCGGCGACAAAGAGTATCTATCTTTTGGCATAAAAGATGGAAGCTTCTTAAAAGTGTAGCTTAGAAGTATGCTTTATATTTTTCTTCTGAAACAGTGGTTATTCTCATCATAGAGCAAGTTTACTAGTCTTTTAAGAAGTATGTGTACTGATACAAGTTGTTTACTAGAATAACTTGTTACCTTGCTGGAACTAGCATTACTGCATTATTTTTGGGACAAAGGCAACCAAAACTAAAAAACCCCACCAACTTGAAATTGGTGAACTTTTAAAAATGATTTTGCCCAATCTTCCTCAATCTTAAAGGAAGAGTAGAGTTTCATCCCATAACAAGGAATTCAATTCCATTCTTATAATGAGTTAGCTAGCAAGATATATGGTATTCTGAATATTGTCCAGAGCACCATAGGTAAAGCCTTGTCAGACAAAATAGATAACACTTAAAAAGAAGATGATTGTACATTAAGAGGGTCAAAGTTTCTAGAGGGAACCCATAGTTTATTAGTTTAACTTATATATATTTCCAAAACAAATCAAATTCTACATCAAAACAGAGAATTAAACAGATAAAACAGAGAGTGAATCTTGATGCAGGAAAAAGTAATTGTTAAACAGACCAAAGTTTCAATCAGCTTCCTCTACAGTAGATTCAATCCGGAGGAGGACAAAACCAACAGCAACTCCAACGAGAACCAAGCCAGGGATAATGGAAGCAATCCTGAAAATCTCACCAGCAACACTGCAGGTTGAAGACAAAGCTCCACCTTTAGCTTGTGATGGGGTTTTCAATGAGCTAACAATCTTTGCAAAAGATTGCTCAGTGCACATAGGGAGGCCTAATGAGGCAACATTGTTATTTGCCTTTAGTCCTCCAAATGAGTTCAATCCATTAATGTAGTTCACTTTGGTTCTTTTCTGGGAAGACATCCTTGTACCTAGAATGGCTGGTGAACTTACTGTTGCTGCAGAGAATGTTGTCATTGTTGCCATTGTTTTCTGACCCCCAACCTATACAAAAACAAGTGAAGTTGTTAACAAAGTTTATACAAAATCTTGGAAAAGGAAGAACTAAAGATTGAGGTTTTACCTGGTTGTGATGGTTTGTGGAGTGCTCTAAGTTTGCCAAAGTAGAGAGATAATAAAAGGGTGAACATTGGATATTGTTTTTTGTGAGGTGAATATGAGAGCAATGGATAAGGGGGGTGTTGAGATGGTTGGCTGACAAGGAAAAATGGATGAGGTATCTTATAGCTCATGAACTTGTAATACTGGCCAGGAAATTTGGTGGGGTATGGACCTTTTGTCCTAATTTAGATAAAGAAGCAGCATAATTGACTTATTTGTCCTTTCTTTTCCTTTTAAAGAAATTACATAAAGTATAGTTCAGATTACAGAAAAATTGGATAGTATTTGATTGGTTAATGTTCTTTTCCTAGCTTATGAATACATTTCTCCTTAGTTTGTACCAATTTCAAAATTTCGACAATTACCTGAAAATGTTAATTCACAGGAGTCTTTTGTTTCATGTAAAAGATGAATAACGTAAAGCTTTCTGACCTCAAAATATTGTAAAAATGATAGCAGATAGTCATTCTAGAGGGCTGCTATTTAGGAATTAACCAACGTGTTCTAAATTTCAGCTTTTCAGGACGGAAAGTAGATTTTTGTTCAAATTTTCAGGACAAAATAAGTACCGACTAATCTCTAAATAGCAGCCCTAAGAATGACTATTCAGGTACTTCCCCCAAAAATATTTTGGTAGTTAGATGAAAATTTACTCATTTTTATTTGTTGGGTAATTTTTTCGTTATTGAGGAAAACGTAATATAGTCTATCATAAGGTCATTCTTGAAAATTTCGAAAATACTTGTAATGATCAGCTCATTCTTAAGGAGGTTCATTATCCCATTTAAAGCGTAAAATGGTATTATTTCCTAAACCTAAAAAGTTAAGGGGGTTAAGTGAAATTACTCTAACATTCCAAAGCAAAATCTTCATGGAATATTTCTCAAAAGCTGAAGAATGATGTGATGAACAAAACAACTCACAAACAATATAAGCATTTTGGCCAAACTTTGGCCACATGAGCATTTCCAACATAAGTAAACCAGATAATAATTGAATATCCCAATTTAAATCAACAAGAATTTAGTCTTAATACCAGTCAACTGGCTTAAAAGCCAAAGCTATTAATACAGACAAGCACAGTCTTCAAATTTTGTCAACAGAATGCAGTACTTAACAAACTAGTAAAGAGGTCTTCAAAACTAGTCAATAAATAACAGTACTCAAGTAAGGCCATGCAAACTAGAATTGCTATTTGCTGGGATGGGAAACTCCTCCTGCTTTGACAACAGTAACCTGTAAATAAAGGATTTCATTGGATTTTCCTCTCATAAACTCACAAATGCACCTGTCTTCTTTTTCAACAAGATTCCATCTACATATTTTGCGCCATCCTTTTTTGAGCCATATCCTACCATCCTTCCAAATATTAACCTCTGTTTCAAATTTTCTGCCCTCAGAATCGCGAAAGAACATTTTTGGAGGGAGTTCAAGATTGTAGTCTCTCACCACATCAACTGGGACGTACTGCAATTTGGAACAAAGACTTGTTTAATGAGAATGCTATAAGGTTGAACTATAGAATTGTTCACTGGTACAGTTGTAAGGCTTTTAATTACCAGTTGATCTCTTCTTTTTGCTCGTATTTTCGCAACAAAGTAAGGATTTTTAGGCTGAGTCGCACGTCCACTTCTGAAAATCTCTGCACCATATTGATCAGGGACATCCCTCTTCTTGATAGTAGTGGCTCTTTTGAATACACCTAAATCAAGAAAGCTAATTGGTCAGGTTCACAAACAGAAATGTCAATGTAACCGCTAGAATATTTAGGACGGTCTAAGGCTTGTTAACTTATATATCCAGCATCTCTCTTGTGTTTTGTTGATGTGAGACTCTGTCTAAAGAGTGGGGGTGTTACATCCCACCACATGGAGAGTGACTCTAATACCATCTGTAACAGATCAGCCCGTTAGTGATATTGTCCGCTCTGGGCCTAGGCTTTCACGGGATTAAAACGCATCATTAGGGTCTAAGGCTTGTTAACTTATATACTCAGCATCTCTCTTGTGTTTTGTCGATGTGAGACTCTGTTTAAAGAGTGTGGTGCTACAGTCAAGGACAACAGGTTATTCATGAATACTTAGAGATAATCCCTGCATTTTATTTTTATACGGCTACATTTGTTTGAAAATAGAGTTTAAGAAAGAAAGAAAACTTTTAATACATGCCAAAGTATCATTAGGCCTGTTCAATTACCGAGATTATGAAAATAATCCACTAGTATAAAATTCGATGTTATTTTACTGTTCGTTTTATAATGTCAATGCAAATAACTTAAACTCTAATAATGTACTAATAAGTAAAGAATTGAAATGCATTAAAATGAAAAAGAGGAATTGTAGAGGGTCTTTAATTGTGTCTACCTTTTGAACATGGGGCCTTTTTCTTGAACATTTTTGCCTTTTCATTCTTTTCTTCTTCTTCTTCCTCCTCCTCCTCCTTCTCGACAGATTCCTCTGCCTCCTCATCGTCATCTTTTTCCTCTTCCACGTAACTACCTTTTGAACATGGCGCCTTTTTCTTGCATATTACTATTGCCTTTTCTTTTGTTTCTTCTTCTTCTTCTTCATATTCCTCGTCCTCGTCTTCTTCTTCTTCTTCCATGTACTCCTCATCCTCATCGCCATCAAAAGAAGAACTAGAACTACTGCTATCACTGGCCAAATGTTTCTTCCCTTTTTGCCCTTCACTCTTTTGATGTGCAATATTGATCATTTCTTCCTCCTCCACTTTCACAGCGACTCCAGCTCCTTTCTTTTCACATGCAGTTTTTCCAAGTAATTTGAAATCAAATACACCATTCCCATCATAGTCAAAAATCAAAAAATCTCCAAACTCCAAACTGTTGTCCTCAATGAATTTCACCCATCCATCTTGGAAATAAAGGTATCTGCCTTTTTTCGCCATTCCAATTGGCCATACATTCCCAAATCTATCCCTAAGTGAAACCCTTTTAGGTAGCTTACCATTCTTATACTCTGTAAAAGCCGTGGGGATTTTCTGTATGAAAACAAAAAAGGTTCATTTTTACGAAAAGTACAGATTATCAAATTCTTAAAATCAGATTGTCCATATTTATCATACATAAAAGCAGCCAATATCAGGCGGAAAAATATTTCAAGTAAACTCAAGTTTGAAAATTTTGAGGTTATAAATCAAGTAACTGCAAAGTAACTTGGTTTTACTAAATAACAAATTAAATCAGGGGCACTCTGTAGTTTTACTGCAAAGTAACTTGTTTTTGTTTTTCACTTTTAGCTCGAACCAGAAATTATTTATATTCGATGACCGAAAAGTATAATAACATACATAATATATATATTATTATTTTGAGAGCGACTATACATTGTCATTTTCCCAAAGTAACTTCCCTTGTCATTTGCTATTGCAATCAGCAACTTATGACATTTAAGGACCGAGTTTAATGTAACATTGCAAATCTGTGACATCTATTACGTAGTCCAATCATATACTATGGTTAAACTCCAAAATGTTGATTTAGGAAAGGGGTTATGCACTGAACTGGTTTAACTATAAAAAATACTCTAAAATTAACTCAGCGTTAAGAAAAATATAATAAGTGATACTAAAGTTACAGCTTTATAACTTTATCCGTATTTAATGCTGATTTATATCTTATTCATAAAGGCGGATCTATCGTGTAAGCTATGGGTTTGTCCGAACTCAATAGTTTACGCTCCAATCATGTATATTTATTACAAAACTTACTAAATAAGTATAATAAATAATAGATCTCTAACCCAATAACTCAAATCGGCGATAAGCTGAAATCATACGGTTCAAATCCTGAATACGTCTTTTTACTCTTTTTACTTCACGTTCCCCTATTCACGGCCTACATCTCCAATAAAAAAAATTAGAAAACAAAAAGATTTCTGAAAAAGAGTGGCAAAAACCCTTGACCAAATACTTGAAAATAGCAGGAGAAAAAAAACGATGAGAGGGAATTATAGTTACCAGCTTCTGGGAGCTGTTCTCTGGGTAGAATAACTTGAAGAAGCCCTTCTCCATCTTCTTAGCATCATCCATCTTACCCTCTTTTTTTTCTCTATAGAACAAAATTGCTTTTTTTTTTTCTTCTTTTTTTTTCAAAGTTTACCTTAACCTTGTAACTAGGCTAGAAAATTAAAACCTTGTGGACAAGTAAAGATTTTTGTAATCTGAATAGTGATTACATAAATTTTTAGATTGTCAGAGAGCATTTTCTCAAGTAATAAATGTAGAAAATGATATCAATGGAGAAATGTGAGGAATTATTGTGTATGAGCTGGGATTTTCCCATTTTGGATTGAAAAATTCAGCTAGTTTTTTTCCTGCAGCATTGCAAAAAATGGAACTCCATTATTTTTTTCACTGTATTGCAATAATTCAGTCAATGCGACAATGCCAATCCTTTTCACGTTAGTAATTCAAGAAGTGTAACAAGTAACTATCGTCTTTTCAAAAGTCGTTAGTGACTCTCATTTATGGCATCGCCTTTGACCAAGTTGACTTAAAAGGGTGTTCCTTCATGTGATCGGATGAGTGTGATAAGAGCTTTCAGAAGCTCAAGACTATCTTGATCACAACTCCAGTGTTTGATGCAGAAGGGTAGAGTTATTGCTTTTGTAATTAGTAAAAACTCTGTTTAGCTTTTATCAGTTTATAGGAAAACGTTTTCTGAATATCATGGTAGGTGGATTACATTTGTAGCAAGATTCTTTTTTGGCCATTATCGTCAAAAAGACTCGCCCATTAAAAGAAGAAAAAAAGAGAGCATATTTGCATCTGACTCATTTTTGACTAACATACCTTCGGAAATTGGAAGGGAGCCTTGGCGTAATTAGTAAAATTGGTATCATGTAATCGGGAAGTCACGGGTTCGAGCCGTGGAAACAGTCTCTTGCAGGAATGCAGGGTAAGGTTGCGTACTGTGGACTCTTGTGGTCCATCCCTTCCCTGGACCCCGCGCATAGCGGAAACTTAGTGCATCGGGCTGCCCTTTTATACCTTTGGAAATTATTCATTTTTATAAATTACTTCGAAATCAGGTTAGTGGGTTACGAGGTTCGGTGGTGACAACCCCCCTTCCCCCATTTGGTTTTC